GGTGCTAATGATCCTCAATTTCATATGTAGGTTGAAACACAGTCATTAACTGAAACAGAAATATACTGTATGCCAGCTGGGAGAGGATATGGGATTTGGGAGGGAGGCTTTGCTTGATGCTCTGCAAGTCAACCAGCTGGAGATGTAAAAACCTTTCCTGTAATAATAGTAATTTTGAGGTGCAGTTGAACTTGGAATGGGGTAATGACTAGGTCTGTGGGTAATTGGGATTGAGTCCAATTCAGTTCTCTTCCAGCTGGTGCTCAGACTGGTTTTGTAATTCATTCTCTAGAGATGATTCACTCATTGCAATTATATTGTGAGAATTAAATGTGAGGGATGGTAAAGAATGAAGTATTTTTGGTTAAATATTGTGTGTAATCCGGCTGTTGACTCTGTCTTCCAAGGTTGTGAATGATCTGGTCTTCAGTGGTTCCAGTGACCAGTCTGTCCATGCCCACAACATACATGTAAGTTGCTCAAATGTCATTTAATTTTAATCTGTGAAATATGAAGTGCTTCAGACTTTTTTTGACTTCTAACAAAATAGTTTACCTTTAAACTAGTGATAATAATTTACACTAATTTAATTTAATTCCATTTTAAACAAGTGTTAAATTATTAAAAATATATAATTTATAAATTATAAAGAAATTATAAAGAAATAAGTAAATACAAGTTCTGAGATGCATCTTTTTTTCTTTCTTGTGAATGATGGTGGGATAAAGATAAACTTCTATCAAATACACATAAAGATTGATCCCCAGTAGTTGTATGAAAGTGTTCTTCATGCTAGACAGTTAACAGTCTTTCTTACAATGCTCACTTTAGTAACAGTATAAACTGAAGAAGAAAAATCTCCACTTTAAGATTTTGTTCTTAAAAGGAAGGTGTCTACAGGAATTCAGTAGAAACAATCAGTTTGCTTGCTCCATGCATACCTATTTATCCTGATGATCTTGCTGCAGACTGGGGAGCTGGTACGGATATACAAGGGGCATAACCATGCAGTAACTGTTGTGAACATCCTGGGAAAAGTGATGGTAACAGCCTGTTTAGACAAGTGTGTTCGAGTATATGAGTTGCAGGTAAAAAATCTAGTTCATTTTGTTTAAAGTGAAATGTATAATTGTCTTTATAAAGTGTCTTCCTTTGTTTCATGAGATCTGATTTGAAGCAATCCTTCTGGGTCTGAATTGGGTTTTAAGGAAATCCTGTAGAAGTTGCACAGACTTCAGTGTCTAATTTTCTCTAGGAAAAATAGCTGCTGGGTGGTTTGTTCTGTCAGCTGAACTTATCTGCCAGGAGATAACAATTTGTGGTGAAGTACTAGGTAATGTACATCGCCTGCCGTACACTCTGAAGGCGTGTGAGGTTATCTAGATAAATAAATGTCTTTCCCTGTTTGATAACTTTTCTTCTGAGAGAGTCCACTGCTGTCTTTTGTGGCTGGAAACAAGTATTTAAAATGTGTGAACTAGAATTGTGGCACAAAGAAGCAGTTTGTTTTGTTTTTCTTACATTGTCTACATGCAGCTTAACTGCAACGTAATCTTTAGGCATATGTTTATCAGCCTATCACATGTCTGACAAGTTTTCTTTGTTTTTTCCCTTCTTTTTCCACCAAGTCTCATGATCGTTTGCAAGTTTATGGAGGACATTCGGATATGATTATGTGCATGACCATTCATAAGAGCATGGTAACACTTTTTTTCCCCTTTTCATAATATTAGGGATTTTCCTCTTATGATTATGACTATCCAGAACTAGATTATTGTTCTTGCTTGCTATGTAGGTAGTGTTTTACAAGTAACTTCATGCTTGGTTCCTTCTGGTAGGAGAAATAGGACTGTGAAGCAACTATGGGTTTGTCAGAAACTATGCCCAAAGAGCAAAATGTCCTCAAACCCACTACAGCACCCTGTGAGGAGTACCTGTCACCTGGGGGAACATAAGCAGACATTTGTATCCTATATTTAGGAACATCAGACTAGTCATCTGACATCACCACTTCTCCATGTGCGTGCGGAAGAGTATTCTGGATTCTAGCCGGGCTCTAACAAAAGACATAAGTAAATTCCCAGGTCAGAGGAAAGCAACCTGATGGCCTGCAGTTGTATTGGACTCCAGGCTCTCATCTGCCCCTGCCAGCATGGCCAGGGAGTTCAAAACATCTGGAGGGTAATTTAGTATTATTTATACAATTTTGGTACTCCTTTTTTTCATTATTAAAAACGATCCCAAAGTTGGATTGTTTGTTAAAAACAAACTATTAACTGAAGAATGCCAAAATAATACAATTTGTCCAACTCTTTTCGATCTGTGAAAAGTATGAGATAACGTTTCAACCAACTTTAACACTTGAGATGACTAAACCAGCTTGGATCTGAAAAGCACAGCAACGAAAAAACAAAAACAAAAAATCTGTTTAACCAACAGCCTAAGTGACTAGGCAAGGGAGCTGGGCATATCTTTTTGATCACTGTAGTATCCTTAGGTGTTTTTCTGCTTTCTCACTCACTACTTTTTTAATTGGGCACTATCATAGAGTGCCTCCATAGCATGGATGGCATCACTGTAATTTGTTACCACCTTGACTGCATGCAAAACTTATTTCCTGGGAGTGGGCTAGCACCATCCAAGGACTTGGCGATAGTTGAACTGGTAAACCACTTTTTACTTGCAGAACTTAATTTAATAACTCCCTTAGCTGTAACTGAGGGACTTCATTCAACTGATGATCTTAAATGCATCAGTTGCACATTAATGTATATTTTCTAAACATTACTACTGATTTTTTAAAAAAATAGTTTATAGGTCATACTCAGGTTTTATATTCATAGATATACTAGACATTTTGCTATTAGAGTGATTAATATCTCAGAATTTGTTTTAAAAACATTCATACTAAAGGGTTTTCACGTGTTTAGTATACAGCTTTAATGATTGATCTCCTTCCCTTATCCATCCATTATGAAAAAAATAATCAAGGAGCTTACAGAATCAATTTCAACATTTAGTTTTCTCACCCTTAAAATATATAAGCCACTGTACAGTAAACTAAATATTCTGATCATGGTGGAATTCTGAATGTAGCACCAGTGACTGCTGCATTTGACATATTCATGTCCTTTTATTCTTTTAACTCTTGAATTCTTTTTTCCCTCTTTCAGATCTACACTGGTTGTTACGATGGTAGTATCCAAGCAGTGCGGCTTAACCTGATGCAGAATTACCGTTGTTGGGTAAAGAACAAAGCAGTTTTGCTTGTTAGATTCTGACGTTCATGCAGTTGTTTGTAATTCTTGAAACGTGCTTCTTTGCAAAATATGCTCAAGATAACCATAGCAGAATCCACAAAGATGTAAAGCAAATAGGATAAAAACATCAAAAAAGTCTAGTAGAAATGTATAAAAATGGCAGCCAATTGAAACATAGTTAAAATTGGAGTTGGGTGGCTATAACAAATTTGAATAATTAGTTAATTATTTGTTCATTAAAAGGCAGGCTAGGCATAAGGTATCAGATATTATAAATCAACTCTCTAAGCTGAACACCTACTTGAATCAAATTCTTTACCTTCTAATGGAAAGCCATCAATTTAGTCCATTCTGGGTGACAGATAAATCTCAAGTAGCCTTAAAACCCCTAAAAGAAGTCAGAATGCAAGTGGCCAGCTTTCTTATGGCCAGGAGCTGTGCTTTTGGCCTTCACAGAGTTTCATGGGGCTTGACTAGTGATATCATAATGTCCTCAGAGTGGATGGTAGCATACTCTTCTGGGGGATGCTGGGTTGATGAGATTTTTAAAAGATAAATGTTGGGGCAGATGTGGGTTTTTGAGAAGGAAATGGCTGCCTTAAGCCTTTTCACCCATTACTAGCACCCCAACCTGCTCCCCCAATATAAAACATAAATAAGAAGGCTGAAAAGGTTGACTCTGCCCACTCCAAGTATTCTTTAGGGGGCTCAGAAAGATGCTGGGGGTCCATATGCCCATCCCTAGATGCCTTCCATTTGCAGCATAGGGAAGCTGTTGAAAACAGGACTCTTCTTGCTGGTTCATCATCCCCACTGCAAGGGCAAGAAGAGCATTCTTTTCAGATAATGGAACCGTTTGTGTTGTGGAGGCGCCCTGATGGCAATGAGAGTTAAACCCTGCTCTTCCTGGCAGAATCCACTGGGCAAATGTAGGGCTTCTGATACTTTAAGTGATCAAGGGATTCTCAAGGTATACAAACCAGGTGTGGGATGGAAAGTTGAAAAACTAGCAGCAAGAGCTCATGTCCGGCTCCTTCAAGAAATCTTTATGTTAATATGGATGCTTTGAGAGGATAAGCACTTGATCACTCAGTTCTCTCTCATCTTCATCATGAAGGAACATCATGGTTCCTTCATATAGTGTTGTATTTCTGGAGCAGAAAGTGCCCACCTCTGACAACTGATGAAGTGCTTTTTCTGTTTGGATGAAGGGTGCAAAGCAGACACTTGCCCATAGTGTCTTAGAGTGATGAAACAAGCTTGGCACAATTGCCCTCTTCCAGGTTTCTTTTCAGAAAACTCAAGACAGTAAATCTCAGTGTATCTTTCAGAGCAACCAAAAACTTCAAGCTTGTTGTTTGACTTCCTTCTTTTTCCTGTTGAGTTCAGTTTAGGTGTGGACTAAAGTGGTCTTACAGTTTTGGTTACTTCAGTCCTATTCCTACTCCTAGGGTCAGTGGAGGATAGAAAATCTTTGTGTTATACAGAACTGTGAGGTATAGTGGTTAAGACATTGTAAGACCAAGGAGACCCTGAGAGCTCTCTGGATGATTTGGAGTCAGTCACTTTCTCTCAGCCCAACTTGTTTCAGAGCTGATGTTGCTGGGAAAATTGCTGGAGGGAACACTATAGACAAAAATAAATGAATGAATAAATGTATTGTTTTGTGGTTTTACAGAGCTAGCCTTTGCCAAGTCAAGCTAACCATGGTTCATCTGGCTCAGTATTTCCTTTTCTTATTTTTTCTCCTTCATCCATTTTCCCCATCCCATTTATGGGCTGTAGGAAAATGGTCCTGTGATGGAATGGACTTATGAAGGCCAGGCTCAGGGAGATAAGCAGGTTCTTAGCCCCCAACAGGAGCGTGGGAAGTTCAAGAAGATGAGGCTGGCACCTCCCTAAGGGATTCACGGTGTTGTGGCTGGCTAGCTTGGGAACTTGGGTTCAGTCTGGTGAGATTTCTGTCCTGAGGTTGCAGCTAATAAATGCAACAGAACTGTATTTGCATTGTCTCTTGGAGTTCTTTGGGCTGAACCTGACAGGTCCCATTCTTAATGTTTCCACTAGCTTTCTGCCTGTCTTCTGTTACTGCTTTTATGCCATTGCCATTCCCTTTTTCTAATATTTTTCTTCATTCTCTTTACCAGTGGCATGGATGTTCACTTATATTTGGAGTTGTGGACCACTTGAAACAGCATTTGTTAAATGACCACACAAATCCGAATTTTCAAACTCTGAAGTGTCGCTGGAAGAATTGTGATGCGTTCTTCACCTCCCGGAAAAGTTCCAAACAGGTATGTAGCGAAGAAACAGGATAAAAAGTGAAAGGTGAAGGAAGTATTTGGAGTGTAGTTCTTACCTCTTGCGAAGACAGAACCACCTACAAAAACGTCAATATGCCTTTTAAGAAAAAAAGGCATAATGCGCAAGTAAATTGGCAGTCCTGTTGCCACTGTATCATAAGGTAAGAGGGAAATCTGTCCCTGATGTAGGGACAGAAACTTCTGGTGGCCTTGTTACTCTGCTGTTGGTTTTTTATTGGCAGTAACTGGAAAACAGACTAGTTTAAGGGCAGCTTTGATACACTTGGTCTACAATTCTCCCATTCTCTGCAGGCTGTAGAAGTGCTAAAAAGTGTACTAGCTGTTGACATATTTATTTTCCCTCCAGACCCTCCCCCTCTCTCCCCAATTGTTCTGTTCTTTCATTGTGAGCCAAGCAGCACTTTGCATTTGCCTATTCTTTCTACCATTAATTATCCTTCTCAGGCCTTCATCAGATTATGTTTTTCTATCATAAATGTTGCTTGCATAATGGTCATATACAGTACATAAGTTACCCTACTAAATGGCTAGTGATCATATCTTAGAATATTTCACAAAGAGCAATAATATTGAAGCCAAACCTGGTCAGTAATGCAACTAAAAGCATGGGTCTGTCTGTCTGATTTATATAGCTGACCATGTCACATAAAAGGGACTCTGGGCGACATACAACAATTAAAAACAATCAGTACATAAAAACAGTCACAATTAAAAAATAACTATAAAAGCACACAAAACAAGAGGGGATGATATTGGTAAGGGAGCCATTGCAAAATCTCCCTGGTCCCCTGGGACCCCCAGGCCTGTTCACATATCCAGGTCTTGAGGGACTTGCGGAATGTTGAGAGGGATTATTAGAACGTAAAGATGTAAGCAACTTTACATCTTTAAATTCTAATAATTCTAGTTTAATAAGAAACTTGTATCTCTTTCCTAAAATCTCCTCTCAGAGATTTTATTTAATTTATTGCAGCTATTTCTATACTACCACATTTAAAGATGTTTCCTGGCAGTTTACAATAGCAATAAAATCATAAAATGCATTTAAAATGTCAACTTTCTATGCTGCACAGAGCTCTTAGGTGTTCATATAGTTCTACAACTATCTGGGTCCCCCTTTTTTAGTTTTGCCTGTCACATTACATTATTTTTAAAGTTTTGCTAACAAATTTATGTTGTTGGTATGTATGCAATCTCAGTATAATAGGGCTGGATCCCGAGTTTGTCCTATCAGCAGAAGAAAGGAAGTGAATTTGCACCACCTTGAGGTCTCCAAAAATGTTCTCTGCTGTAGAGAATTGATGATTCCTTAGGAACAATGAACGAGCTGTGTAGAAGTTGGGAATTTGCAAAAACAGCATATCTTTCCTTTAGATTCATTTGTGTGATGAGAAGATCTTCTGTGGACAGAATGTCTTTTGGCTGCAGAGGGCTAAGTTAATATCTGACATTATGGTTAAATGCTGCCAGTAGAGTTTGTGGCCAGTGTCAAATTCGCTAGAAATCATAACAAAGTACAGATAGACAATTCATTATAAGCAGAATTTGCATTTCTTGGCCTTCTGTCATCACCACGATGGCATTATATGGAAAGAAAGTTGTTGCTGTTACTGAAAAGAGGCATATATCTCTATGCATATATCTATATTTCCCTGGTTTTGACATGGAAATCAAACTCCTGCCCCCGCTCCACCCTATCATGTCATGGGGCTTGTGGAAATTTGGTTTAGCCCATATTAAAAAAAAAAAAGTGTGAGAAACTGAATTTACCATTGTTGTGATAGAATAGTGAGTTTAGATGGAAAAAGATTAAGATCCTGATTCATTCAGACTCAGCAAAGGGAAGGTGCTGCCCTGGGGTTGAACATGATAAATTCTTTTGAGTGTTAATCTCTAAGTGAAGTACTTTTGTCACTGTCCCACACAACAAAGTAAGATCCCTAGGTCAGAATACACTTTGAAGAATATCATAAGCTGTTCTGTCTCAAGCAGGAAAACATATTTGTGTGGTGCTGAATATCAACAAGGGTACCTCACTCCTGCTTTGTATTGAACTCTGACTAGTGCTGCCCCAAACCTCGGATTTATGTCAGTCCCACACTGGCATGGAATGTACCGTTGATGTGTTTACATTTTTATAGGCTGTAGAAGTACAAAAATCTGAGCTAACTGAAATCAACCCTGTGTTCTTTCTGCCTCTAGGATGCGGTGGGACATATTGAGAAGCACGCAGAGGATGATAGCAAGATTGACTCATGACATTTTTCAGCCTCCCATATTGGGAAGTATTTTTTATACACGAGAAATTTTACATGCCTTGTCCATCTCATTCTTTTCTTTTTCCTCCTATTCATATTTGGAGTGCAAAAAGAACACAAGCCTTTTCTTTTTCTTCTTTTGCTACAGAGACAGCATCCTATTCGCAGCTCTGTAGAGAAAGGAATGACAGAGTCATGCCAAATAAAAGTTTGTACCATTCACTTGTTAGGGAAAAAAAACCCCCCACCCTTCCTCTTACTTGCATTGTGCAAATAAGCACATTGCGCTTATCTATTACTTGGTATTCAGAGGAATGTTTAATGCTTACTTTGGGGCCCTACATATACAGTGGTGTGTTTATCCATCTTGTTTCATGTTATATGCAGGATCCCCTGATATTTTATGTTTTTTGGCTTTGGACTATTTTAATGTTAATCAAAAGAAATTGAACACAAGGTAGAAATACCACCTGATCATTGAGTTCCTTATTTTTTTCTTAATGCAGTCTTTGAGATATTTTAATGGGTGCTGTTGGAGTAAATGAATGGCTCACCTTTTGAATTAGCTTATATTGTGGCTTCAGTTCAAAATGTGAAACCTGCACAATTCATCACCATTGTATTTGATTTTTTTGGTACACTTTAGCTCCAAAGAAACTTATGGTGGCAGAAAACGTACTGTTAAGACAGCAAAATACTTGTATCCTAAACACACTTACTGTAATTTCCCAGTTGTCTTAGAGTGCTAGGCACCATAACACAAACACCAGTAAAGACAATTATATTAAACATTTTCTGTTAGGTTTATACCCAGTGCTCTCTTGCCACAATATTGAGACTGTGTTCCTGATTCTGAGAGTTTCAAGTTATGACCATTGCGGCATTTGAAGTAACTAAATTTCACTATATCTTTACTTGCTTCATCCAGCTAAGCCCGTGGGAATCCTGTTTTTCGCAATTACCTTTGCGATAACTATCTTGTCTCACTATAACCAACTGAATACCTTCAGTTTCTATAATTGCAAATTAAAATGCTATTGGGTGCAAACTGGGGAGATTTAATACCCAAGTAGAAGCTGAGAGTTTTGTATGTATTTTGTGCTGTCAGAGGAGCAAAACCAAGCTGCGTGAAAAGTGCAAGAATTGCAAGAAAAAATAGCGTATGTGTTTGTGTAAAGTGATGTGTATGTGGTCAGTGCTGCTGGGAAGGTTTTGGTGCTGCAATTTGCAGTATACAGAAAGTGGTTTCCTAGTGTTTGTGACATCAGTTCTGTTTTTTTCCACAGGAAAGCTAGAAACCTCATTATTAGTCCAGCAGTATCTGTGAGTTTAATTACACCAGACAGTGTGTACATATTAAAAGAGCAAATGGCATTGTAATCAACCTTTAAAAATAAAAGGTAATTCATGCCTAACTTAGTGATCTCAGCAGCCAGAAGAACAAACCAGTTGGAAGTTGCTCTACATGATTATCTTGGCAACTCAGATAGCTTGGAGATGTTTATATGTTTCGATTCAGGACCCCCCTTTTGATCTTCTGCCATGTTCAGAAATAATGAACAATTCACTAGTAATCTTCTGTTGTCGGAGCATCTTATTCTGCAGCCTGTGTGTGGTTTCTGGGCGATGGTACCTCTTCTTTTCATGACACTGTTGGCAGCTGAAATAAAAGACACTGGAGGAAACCCTCAAATGCTTAGTCAAGAGGCTGTGAGAACATTCACTCTTTAGACAGTAGAGCATTGAGTGGTATTCTAAAATATAGATCATTCTTAACTGAATGTGGTTGGAGTTAAACTGCAGAGGTAGGAAGCATTTTTTGTGAGGAAAAATATATGGAGTGTGTTATTAGTCACGTGGATGAGTGAATTTTAATTTTGCATCCTCTTTGAGTTCCTTCTTCAGTATTTTAACTGGAAGAGGATGGTGACTTGATACGTGATAATGTAAATGTTCTTTTCACATCAGTAGTTGCAAGTGATATATAACTTGGACTGTTTGTGTTTTTCACTGTTTAATAGGTGTGTGTTGGTGTGAGTGTGTGCATTTAAGGTGAGCGTGAAGTCCAATTTTGGGATGTTTTCATAATTTGTATTAAAAGTATTCAGCAATAAAAGTGTGGTCGCATTTTACTCTTAGTTGGTTCTATATGTTTTCCTTTATTTATGAGAAGAACAGTTTCAAATAAAGTTCCATGCACATGATAACTTAGGAAGTTAAATGTCTCCTTTCAGTGTGTTGCCACCGTTCTTTCATTTGGAACGTAGAATGTTCTTCTCTTGCGGTTCAGGAATGTTTGGTTTTGTTTGGTTCTGCTTTCTGTTCTTATACCTCTTTAGCAGGAAATGTATGCATGCTCCTCTAGGTTGTTCTAGGAATCTCGATGCAGGAAGGACAAAATGTAATTTGCTAATGATTAATGGAATGGTAAGGCAGATGCATCAAGGTTATATATTTTGAAGAATGTCAACTTCTGGAAGGTTCCAGGTTTTTGTCTGATTTCCACAAATACGTTGACTTTTACCTTTAGAAGATTTTTATTTTGAAAGAAAGGAGATAGAAATGAAGTTGCTAGGGTGAATTACAGAGTGCGTTCTTGAAATGTGTGGGAAGTATGTTTAGTTTTGTGGGCCGGCTGATGTCTGAGTAAGCCAGTGTTGTCCAAACTTGGCCACTTTAAGATGAGTGGACTTCAACTCCCAGAATTCCCCCGCCCACATCGCCCGGCTGGGGGTTCTTGGGGTGTTAAGACCCCCCTCTTTAATTGGGCACGAGTTAAGTAAAAATGGTTAATTATG